TAATATTCACATATAAATACATTGCATATTCCGGTGTTCGTTTACTTAAATTTTTGATATAGGTACATCATAAATATTAAATAAGTACCTGCATAATTTTAAATGGTATGGAAATAAATAATAATATGTATCAATGATAACTTTGGTAAGTATATTGATTATACATTTTATAACATTAACCCACACAATATTACTGTGTGCACATTCGTGAAGCATAAAAAAAACTGATTTTTGATTACTCTACAAGCAAGCGCAAAATAAAATAGTTACTGGAGTCTGAGAGGGGATGATGAATACATTGGTCTCTGTTTTGAAATAAACGATTGGTCCCCAGGGTTCGTTCAAGCTGTGATCAGACATGAGTTTGTCGCATAAAAAATAACAATTTTTTTTCGTTGTAAATATGACATGCCATTCTCATAACTCTTTAGGGATTTTGTAATCGACTTCTGTTTAAAATCACGTTTAACAGAAAATCTTATTATTTAGTAAAACATCGGACAAATTATGTTAGAAAACATAAGATGTTAACATTAGATATCTGTCTTATTTTATAATCTATGAATAATTAATACATTCTAATTTTTGATTCCATTCTGAATGGTATATAATATTTAGCAAATGCGTATATGTACCTTCATATTACCGTAAGCTTAATATTAATTTAATTTTCAACTTATTAGTTGTTAAGAAAGTATTTCTTTCCGAAAATATTCGTGGGAARAATTAGATAYAGTTTAAAAACATGTAGATAAAACAAATRTAGTAAATTATATTGTATTAAAAAATGATACAAATAATCTTATAATAATAATAATATTAGRATTAAAATAATAATTATGATATTAGTTTGAGTAAATGMGTTGTACTTTTGACGAATATAGGTATATTAAAATTCTTAACTMTTAAAACAGTATATTGTATAATATATTATCAAAAACTTGAGTTGTAAAAAAATCCGCAAACCTAAACTATTGTTTAGGTCAGTTGAACCGATAACAAACGCTACACGGCACGTTTATTATTGTATGCTTACTTCATATAGGTACATCAACACGTACACATAATAATATGATATGTAGTGTGGTCTGATAATAATATCGTTCACATGATAATTTTATAACAATATAATTCATTAATTTTCTCGTCCACCTATTGATGGGGTTTTATCGACGTTTTAATATAAATTCCTCCGGTTATCGATTCCGCTGGATATTTTTTTATATTGATTCCGCCGACTGWTAATTAAACAATAACCGATAAAAACATTTAAAAAAACAATTCATACATTGTCGTCTAAAAAGGACAATATTTATTTATATAATAAAATAATATATCTCAAATATCTACCTCGTATTTTTAAATAGATTTATATAGTAAAATATTCAAAACAATAAAACATACAGTTAAATTCATGTAATTTAAATGATTATCAATAATTGTCGTAAATAATAATATAAGTAAAATATATAGGTATGGTAAAAAAAAATAGTGGTTTACTGGTTTAAAGCCAATTTTATACAAGAGAATCTAGTGGTCATATTTGGCCATTTATTTCATATATTCTACTTTAATTTATTTTATACGAGTGCAAATATGTAATTTATAAATATACAGCGGATTGATAGTCAGCTCCCAGTGGAATCAATATGTAAAAAAGTTTGACGGAGTCGATGTGCAATAAATAGATTTTTTGCCGGTAAAAAGGTAATTTCGGCGAAATTGATGCGTGGTAACATAATATTATACTGTTTATTCAAAATGCATGATATTTAAAAAAAATAATATTAATTATAAGTACTGCACAAATGTACCATAAATAACCAAAACGTTAGATCCGCATGTATTCATTCTTAAAAGCTAACCGCTATTTAAACGATTATGTCAAAATTGCATAAATTGTCGTGTGTGTTGAAACTAGCTGCTGAAACACCTAAAACTAAGATAAAATAAAAATGAAACACTTTCATATTTACATTTAAATATTTAATATATTACTTTAGGATYACATATTACTATATAATCTGTTTACTTTAAATAGTTCATTATAGGGTTGATAGTTTATCGATATACAATGTCTTAAATCGATATACCATTATAGTAGTCTAATACCATTGAGTATAAACTATACTCAATGATAACCAATGTACCAACATACCGAAGAAACACGGTAATGCTATAGGTTGTCATCGTTGACGGTTTTTTTTCGATATATCAGTTCTAATACCGAAGTTCTGCTGACACAAACTACATTTATCCTGTGATACTGATATCCGATTTCAATACCGTCAACGGCGTCAGCCCTCTAACTATCTCGGTTCTGAATCTGGACTGTTTTTATATTCATATGTATAATATCATCGTTATTTTCGTTGTAAACGTATTTATATTTTTTAAAAACCAAAACGGTTTTTTGACACGAATCCGATAACTTGAAATTGTCAAACGCGTTTCGACTCCCAAATTATGTATTGCGGACGCGCGTAATACCAGTAGGCAGCGACGCGATATAAGTTATGTCATATTGTATTAATATATTATGTTAAAAAATTAAACGGACGTCGGCGGACGCGTAACTGATACTGCGCGCGTGCCGGACACGTGCGGCGCGGCGTGCGTCAATAACCGGCAATTTGTCCATCTATCGCTACCGTCACACCCATCATCGTCACGGTATTTTATAATATGACACTGGTGCAGAGAAAGAGTTCAACGCGGATTCGTGTTATTACACTTATATTTTTTATAATATATATAAATTATTATTATTATAGATGGTTTACTAAGGATATGGTATACGAAAGCACCTACATTGAGTAGTTAATTTTATCAAAATATTCAATTCTGGTTAAACTTAAAATAAAAAAATGTCAAACTTAAATATGTCTTTATTGAATCAAAAAACGATGAAATCTTTGAAACGTCAAAAAATTTTTATCATTGAAAATTTTTCTTATTTTTATCAACTGGAAAAAACAAAATCGATTATACGCAAATTATTATTGTTTTTATTCAAATTTGCTGTTATGTGATTTTTCAGATATTACATTTCCATATATAATGATCAAAATTATTTATTTTATGTATGTATGTAGTATACAATAAGCCAGTTTAACGTCATGCGCTTTGTATTATAACAAAGATAATCATTTTGGGCTTTTGTTTATGATATCAGTCGATTTCAAAATCATGTTTCATCGATGCATCGGTGTTGTAATAGATACTTTTTACAGTTA